AGAGAGAGAGAGAGAGAGAGAGAGAGAGAGAGAGAGAGAGAGAGAGAGAGAGAAAGAGCACGTCGAGCACACAGTACAACGATGAACATAGCGCGGCCGCTGAATTTCGACGCGACGATGATGTGAACGCGCTCCGCTAACGGAGGGAAGGATTCGGAGCTTTCGCTGGACACGAGGCTGGACTCTTCGAGCGAGATACCAACGAGTCGCACGAGTGTCACCCTTGAGTGGGCGCATATCGATTTCACGTCGACGATGTTTATGTCGATGCCGTGCGGCAATTCGCGAGAAAGCGCACCTTCGCGCACAGGCGAGTGCACGATCGAGCATCGCCGTATGTGAGATCGAGGGAAGAGGGATTACCTGCCACTTGCTGAGGAAGAGAGCTCGGGAAGCGGCACCGCACCGCCGCGTGCGAGACGATAGAACCGCGCGCGTTTCACCGAGACGTCTCACACAGCGAGAGCTCCGGCCTCTCGGAGCGGGAGGCTCTCGTAGTCAATAACGCGCCGGCGAGTGCCCACGGGCAAAGTGTGCGCGCGATATTTGCCGGAGAATTTAATTAAGCGGCCAAACACCGGAAAAATATCCGGTGAGCCGGACGCGCAGCTTTCAAAATTTCTCGTCGGCGGCGAGACGTCGATTCTGCGGTCGGACGGACGTCGCGAACGTCACGAGTAAGCGCCGCGGTATCGTTTAATGGTGATCTCGGCGCGCGGAAACATTTGTACATCAACTTTACATAGCGCATCTAATTTCCCTTCCCACACAAAAGGCCGGGAGAAAGAGAGAGAAAGAAAGTAACGCCCGAACGATTTTCTCGCAATTCCCGCGTCACTTTCCACGATTCGACGCTTTTGGAGGGTGTAATAATTCATAATTAGCTGACACTGTGACACCCTAAGAAAGTAAAGCGATCGGAGACGAGGAACGATTCCCGGCGACAATCGACTCTCCAATCGCAACAGCAACAGAAACAACAACAGCGGCGGCGGCGGCGGCGGCGGCGGCGGCGGCGGCGGTGGCGACGACGGCGGCGGCGGTGGCGGTGGCGGTGACGATGACAGTGGCGTGTCGGCACGTGCGTGGCATTAAGCGAAGCACCGCGAACAATTGAACGCGATAATTCGATTGCCGGTGCATCTGACGCCTCAAGTTCCGGCTTTCGCCTGTCCGAACGTATGTATGGGACGCGCGTAATCGCGGCTCATTAAGCGTTACGAGCTTGAACAGAGCGCCGGCCGTTTGATCGTCCACGTCGCGCCGCTTTGTTCGCTGATGTAACATGGTGCACCTGCAGTCACGTGGCGCCGACAAGCTCTCGCACGCCCGATAAGCTGAGGCTGCTGCGCGATTCGGCGGGGATTTAAGAGCACCGGAGCCGCCGATTATCGATAACTCTGTCGGCGAGCCGCGGGCGATCGATTCGACCCCTTCGACTGGCCAACCCGGTTTCGCGAAGCCGTCGAACAGAGCCGAAGCGATCGTAGGCCGATCGTGGGCCGAGTCCCCGGCTGCGACGGTTCTACTTGTTGCGAGGAACCGCGTCGGGAGGAAAGGGAGAGAAAAAAAGAGAGAGGACAGCACTTGCGAAGAACGAAGAGAACGAATAGCCGTTTCCGCAAAGCGGGGCGAAAATCGCGAGTGTGCCGATCGTGACCGTGATCCACGTGTGCTCGTCGCGAATGTGCCGCAACTGTGAGGAACGAAGTCGCGGGTGAGTGGCCCGGTGTCGTGGACCCCTGCTGGGTCCGAGCTGAACAGCAGGACGGCGACGTCGATCGCTTCCTGAGCCAATCGAAAAGGAAGAGTCGATCCGATCGCGCGATGTCGCGTTGCAACGACGACCCCGTCGTCGCCCCGGCACGTCGCGAGCTGCGCGCAATGGGATGAGAGAGCGGATGATCGACGTGTGCGGAAACAGGTGTAGGTATGTGTGTCGTGTCCACGCACGTGTACGTGATTATATCAGGTTAGGGCACAGACGTGTGGCGGAGAGGGCGCGAGAGAGAGAAAGAGAGAGAGAGAGAGAGAGAGAGAGAGAGAGAGAGAGTGAGGAGCGGTCGCGTTTTCGGGCCAAGAGGACGTCGGTCTTTTCGAGGATGGCGGCGGCGGCGGCGGTCCACCGCGGCCGTGTTTGCCATTGTTGCTGAATTAAGCGGAGCGCGCGCTCTCGCCCTCGAAGGGAGCTATGCCCTTTAACGTCGCGGCAAGATCGATCTCGCGCACTCGAAACGTCCGACTCTCGCAATTCGTTTAATCGAAGCCAAAGGGGTGGAGAAATTAACTCCCCCGCGGCCCTCCCCGCCTGTCGTCCGATACTCGACGCGCCTCTCTTGCGCTTCGCCGTTAATCCTCCGTTTCGAGGGTGATTCGCGGCGGAATGAAAATGATCTAATGCGATTGGGCAAGCAAGCATGCGAGTGAACGCTTCAACGGTGGTGCCTCGTGTGTGCGAGTTTAGAGATATGCTCTTCGGCGTATATCTCTATACACGCTCCTTGCGCTCAACACGTAACACGAACTGTTGTTGGAAGATGGATTAACAATACGCAAAACTCGACATCCCTTGCACGTTTCTCACGTCACAGAGGGATTGCGCGAATTGTTGTCTCGTTGGAAATAGTTTCACTCGCAATTGCACCTAATTTCGCAGAGCTTGCGAATATAATATCTCGCAACTTGAATGTTGCGCGCGATTGTACATATTTTATACTTTAATTTCAAATATACAGAGGAAATGAGGAGAAGTGTCTCAAACTCTCCTCCGTAACTTTTGTAAGAACATAGAACGGATTGAGGTAAACATAAAAGTCCTATACCATTTTGTCAAGATATTAACTAAAACAGATTCATCAAGCTCAATATGATAGATAAATTGTACATGCGACATGTGCTGTTGTATGCTTGCACATTAGGTCAAATTTAATAAAACAGCCCTTTATCATTTTGCAATTAACCACGTAGATTTTTAATTATTAATGAAATAAAATTGTTTTGCATTATGCACCTGATTGTGTGTGATAATGCACAACTCTTTAATTAATATCTAAAAATTTGGTATGTGGTCATTTGCAAAATGATATAGAACTGTTCAGTTTGACCTAATATATAAGTATACAACGGCAGACGGCGTCACTGCAGCTCATCTATTATGATCACGTATGATCATTCACCAATATTCCTTACTTAATATCTCGAGATTTACTGCGAATATCGCAAAACGATATGGGACTTTTATGTTCACCTCAATACGTTCTACAAAAATTGCGAAGGAGAATCTGGGACACCCTATATATCTCTCTTGTGCACGCGTTGCAATGTGCAACATGCACGTGGGTTCAAGCAATTGGACCTAACAATTCTTTGCGAATATAATTTTTAGATTCATCGTGGAAAGTATCGAATGCGCTTGCTATTAGAGAAAAAAATATATTATCAATTTTCCGGTCCCTATAATCTCTACGTATATTCTAGACGACATCTAAGTAATTTCACCCGCCATTACAACTAATTTCGCGGAGTTTGCGAATCTAATATCTCGCAACTTGAATGTCGCACGCGACGACCGTATATATTTTATATTTTAATTTCAAATATATATCTCTCTCCTCTCGTGCACACACGTTGCAACGTGCCATATGCACGTGGGTTCAAGCGGGATGTAACAATTCCTGGCGAATATAATTCTTAAACTCATCGTGGAAAATATCGAATGCGCTTGTTATTAGAGAAAGACGAAATTGTTATCAATTTTCCCGTTTCTATAATCTCCGTTTATTTTAGTGGCCATTTAAAGGTCATCTCTTTCTGAACGCTACCTAAATGGTTTTACCCGCAATTGCATTTAATTTTGCAAAATTTGCAAATCTAATATTTCGCAATTTGAATGTCACGCGCGCGCACGCGCGATCATATATTTTATATTTTAATTCCAAATAAGTATGTCTCTCTTCTCGTGCTGCACGTTGCAACGTGCAATATGTACGTGGCTTCAAACGCGACGTAACGATTCCTGACAAATATGATTCTCAAAATTATCATGAAAAGTAACCAATACGTTTGTTACTAGAAGAAGAAAAAAATATTATCAGTTTTCTTGTTTTTATAATCCCCGCGTTTATTTTACGCGATCTGGTCATCTTTATTTTACTGATTTAGATCATCTGAAGGCTGTCTCTCTGGACATGCTATCTAAATAATTTCCCCCGCAATTGCAACTAATTTCGCAGAGCTTGCACATTTAATATCTCGCAATTTAAACGTTAATCGTATATTTTATATTTTAATCTCAAATAAATATTTCTCTTCTTTTATGCATGTTGCACATACAACATGCATGCGAGTTCAAGCAAGATGTAACGATTTCCGGCAAACATAATTTTCAGAGTTATCGTGGAAAGTATTCAATACTCTTGTTATTAGAAGACGAAAATGTATTATCAGTTTTCCTGTTTTTATAATTCCTTCACTCTGATTTTAATAGCCATCTAAATAGTCTAACTAAGTAATTTCATCCGCAATTGCATCTAACTTCACAAAGCTTGCAAATCTATTTCGCAATTTGAATGTTGATCGTGTATTTTATATTTTAATTTCAACTAAATATTTCTCTCTTCTCGCGCAATCGTTGCAATGTGCAACATGCCTGTAGGTTCAAACAATACGTTACGATTCTTATGGTACGATTCTGTAACGATAGTGTCGTTATCGTTATGTTGTCATTACGTAGCTTTCTTTTCATATATTATACCGGCGCAAGAACAACATAACGATAACGACACTGTCGTTAAGAGTTACAGAATCGCACTACTGGCAGATATAATTCTCAGAGTTATCGTGGAAAGTATCGAATGTGCGCTTGTTATTGGAAAAGGAAAAAAGATATTATCAATTTCCCCTTTTTTTTATAATCCGCGCTCTTTTATTTTAGCGGCCATCTGGAAGCCTTAATCGACAACAGAAAATTGTTATTCTCCCATAGAGATTGCCTCTGTAATGCAGTTTAAAACTCGAATTGTTTCTCACGGTGATCTGCAAAGTATCGGAAGAAATTTTCCCATAAATTGCAACTAAATGACGGCGGTAACCTCATTTCGCCCGATATCGACATGTTGTTCTCTCTCTTTCTTTCTCTCTCTCTCTTTCTCTCTCTCTCAATCTCTTTCTCGCTCTGCATGCCGAGGACTGGGCTGGCGGGACGAAATCGAGTGACTGCTTATTAATTTCGCGTTCAAAGCGGTAAAAATGGCGCGAGATGTAAATCGGTGCATGCAGACGGAACGAAATTCAATTGAGAGCGTCTCGAGGACGACGAACCGCCGTTTCATCATCAGACGCGCTTTATTAACAAAAGATCACCATATTATAATTCGCAAATACTCGAGGTTTTCACAAACGAAAAAACAACGCTATATCGAATCCTTTATTCCGATCGTTGTGTCTCCTCACATCTCGATGCGCAAAATATTTCTACGCTATTTCGCACGTTCCTCTCTTGATTGCCTTTCCTCCGCCATTCCCTCGTTTTTCTTTCCTTCACGCTACGCGGCGTAAATTTTGACACGTCGCATTTAACGCCGACGATTAATTCACATACGCTCTATTATTGCTGGATAAACGGATGTAATTGTCCACGAAATCGTGAACAGTGACGAAATAACGCAAAACGCAACAACCGATCGGTATGAATAACAAACAAGTAAACACGGGTGCACTGATGTTTCACATGTTTGTGCGCGAGTCCGCCGTAATCATATCTGTGAGAAACGTGATCAGCGATTATCTGATAATATTATATTATCTGCTAAATAAACGAAATAATAGCTATAATCATAATTCCTTCCTACGCTCGCCGGTATCGAGATGCGGACGATTGCTGGCGCTGGAGGCCAGATTTCCGAAGGAAACGCGAATGATTAGCGCGACAGACTGGTTGCTATCCCGGTTGGCAGAAAAATCAAACACCTTTACGGTTACGACATTCTCTAAGGCATTAAGTGTCGCTTAATGGCCGACAGCCGATACTTCGACATCCGCCCTCCTCTCGTGCTTGCGATGTACGTGCTTGTAGATCGAAATGGATTGGTGATACACTTCCGGCAATTAGACGCTCGTTCTTCGTCGCGAAGACAGAACAGACACGAAACGCGCAATTATTAAAGAATCTTATTGATAGCCACGAATCTTGGATTACGATTGTATGATTGAAAAATCCGCAGCTATTAATTATCATGGGTCATTAAATCCTGCGCGTATTATCATATTTTTAGGGACATACAGTGTGCAGTCTAGGTCTGCCGGGCAACTTTCAACTACTGTAACTTTGTTGAAAATCGATATTCTTGGATATACCGTCTTCACACGGAAAAGACAATACGGTTGGTCGCAAGCAGATTTATGTGTGGGCCAACCATACTGTTTTCTCCGTGCAGAAATATAAAAGAGCCTCGACTATAAGATAGTAACGCAATAAAATTATAATTTGCAAACAGATTTGCGCTATTTCGAAATTAGGACTCTTCACGATGATTGATAAGCGATCGAATATTCGTTCGAGTCCCACAGACCCAACATTGTACGCAGATGGTTAATTATTTGGTGTATTAATGCCCTTTGAGTCACATCTGTCGAACTACAGTCTGTGCGTGAGATTTATAGAACCTTGGTTTAAAAAAAGGAGAACAATTTTTCGCTGTACTGAGAGAGAGAGAAAATAAGAGTCTAAGAAATAAGAAATATTCGATGAGTACTATAACATATTTATTTATACACTAATTTATAATACATACACAGGATGTCCGATAACTGATGACGGAGCCGCGATGTGCAAGTAAAACACATTAATTTAAATCAAATAGTTCTCTACCATTTTTCAAACTACGTAAAATTTTGAGTTATTAGTGAAAGAAGAATGATTAATATCGTAAA